AATAAGAGGTGCCTGCTAGAGAAGCTCCTCTTTTGTCACTCATTTCATGGGATCCTACCACTGCTGCTCCACTAGCACCTGCTGTGCACCATGGTCATACTCTCTCTCATCTGATGATCTCACACACACTGGCAGGGACATCAGAATGAAAGGCAAGGCTAGCCCTAATCTTTCCCCTCACTCCTAGCCAGCCCTGCCCTGGGGCCATGATCCCCGCTGCCCTGGCAGGGTGAACAAGATGGAGCAGAGTAACCGGAGCAGCATTCCACAGCCTCACCCTGGTCACAGGAAATCCCACAGCCAGGGCAGCAGAGCCTGACACCCTGCTGGCTGTGACTGAAGCTAGGTCCAAACAAACAGATACTGTCCTTCCAAGCCTGAGCCAGGCCATCTGAGCCTACTAAGGCCTGACAGTACTGCTAACAGCTGATTGCTCCATCCTAGATTGTAGACTTTTTGGAGCAGGCTATGGTTGTTGAGCACCCAACCCGGTAGGCCCTGTTCCTGAGTGCGGTGACTGTAATAACTATTCACAGCTGGCTGTGGGAAGGGGGCTGCTTAGTTGTATGCCATGAAGGCAACCATGATACATGGAGCTGAATTAGCAGAGGAAGTATGCAATGAATTCACCTATGATGTGAAGAAATGAGCTTCCAGGGAATGGAAGGACTTTTCTGATTCTCTGCCTCATTGGGGTGCAGGTCCTCTGCCAAGTCACACAAGACAGGGAACAATTAGTTGCAGGGGTAGAATCTATTTTATAGATCCCTTACCTGGTAATGGACTGACTCATTTCATGCAGGCTGCCTCAAACCCCCTGCAACATGAAAGGCCCCAATCCTGCTTGCGTGACAGATAGGGACCAGACTGTGCGACTATCAGGACTCACCTTCTTAGACAGGATGGGGAAAGAAAGGGGGTTTACGTCTGGTAGGCCAGTCAACCAGAAACAGAGCCGCAGCAGCAACAATTCAACTGCATTGACAGCCAAAGGCAAATGCTGACAGGTTCTGATGCCACCAGTTCTAGTTAAGCTTGGCCTAAGAGTAGGGAGGTACTACCAGTTACCTCCAAGGTTGGTGGCCCATGAGTTCACTGAGTTGATCATTTTCAGTTTAGGAAACAAGACTCCACTAACTTTGTGGCAGAGAATCTCAGGGGCAAATGAGTTACAGACTTAACTCCCCGCACCTTACGTGAGGGGTTACCTCTGAACACATCTTGAAAGGTAGGAGACAACAAGTGTGCATGCTTTGTACAGAGCTTGTTCACCTGGGCATAATTTTTATGGGTAGGCAGAAATCCTCAGTTTCCAAAACTGTTCATTCAGTGTCACTCATTGGTGCTAAACTCTCTAAGAAATCAGTCCAGGGCAAGGTTCACTGAGCTGGCCTAGAAGCTATACCTTTGATTCCCATTGCGATTATCACTGGGGCACACCTGGGAGCTTAGCTGGATCTCTGTGCCCTTTTCTGCCACTGGGCATGCAACACTGGAAGCATCAGCCCCTGTCAGACAACACTGTGTTCCAGCAGTGCAGTGAAATCAGTTGTGATGGGGCTAGAAATGCACAGCTTGAGGTTACTTAGGAGGTAACTTAGAGGTGACTAGTGCCAGTGTCCCATTTCCCACAAGAAAAACAATTATCATGGAAATTCCTGGGGTGGGTGAAGGTCGCCTTTCTGCCTTTACTAACCGTCTTACAGCCTCCTAGATATGACTCTCCCCCCACCCTCCTGCCCCTGAGCTTCTTGGAAAGATTCACTCATGCCCAGGGAATGGAAGCCACCCACTGGGCTACAGAGATGCTCAGGACACACAATTTATGGGCATCAGGGATGGGTATTCCCTGAAGGACATGTGCCTGTACTACTGACCGCACCTGAAAAAGATTGGGAAGGCTGGTTCCTGCATCACATCAGGGAGGACATGGCATGTTCTCAGAGTTGCCTGTTCTTCCCCTACTGTCAGGTCTTTCCTGAGGGACTTTTCAGCAACTTCTACTGATGTGCTAGTATGGAGGAGCCTGCACAGGACACTGTCTCAGGAGAACCTCAGATCCAGGATTGAGTTAAGAACTTGGCAAGGTTGTATCCTAGATCTGGGACATGAAGATTATTTAATCTTATACCAGAAGGGATGGGGGGGAGTCAGCCACTGGTACTCTAGGGCAGATCCAGACTCTGAAGAAACAGAATATAAAGGAGGGACACTGACATAGTGAGATGAATCACATGAGCAAAAGGAAAACTTGTGACTGAAAGTTACTGATGGTACCACTGGCTTCCAGCGTCTGCCCTCTGCCCTCCACTAATATGTGGTCACTGTTTTCTTGTTTAGCTTGCACACAGCAAGGGCTCTGGGTAAATGCCTGAATGGCTGGTGTGAGCGGCTATGACGCACACTCCTGCCATCTCATAGCAACAGCCACAGCAATGCAAGGGGAAGTTGAGTTTTGCATGCAGTCTGATCTGTGTTGGCTTCCTTAGCACTCATTCCCAAAGGAGTACGGTGCTTCTCAAAACAATGGGCATAGGGACTAAAGACATGCCTGGTGGAATTATCAGCTGTCTCAGGCACACCCTCTTATTGGAAAGATCTGTCTTCAGGCCCTTGAAAAAGGAAAACCTCCAGGAAGAGAAGTGCCTTGAGGGCTTCAAAAGAAAATAACTAGGAGGGACATGGGGTTGCTGGGCAAAAGGAGACAGGGCTGAACCTCCAGAAAACCGTTCCGGTAACAAGATCTACTACTCGACTCTCCCCGTGCTTGCTTGGGACAGTGGAAATGTAACTGGACTTGATCATGGCAAATCTGTTGTACAGATCAATCACGTTTGCAGTGAGGATGATGGCCTAGATTAGATCTGTGAGTTCTCATGTATAGCTAAGCTGAAGCAGGAGAATAAGAGGCAGTGAACATAGCTCCTGTTTGGGCTCAAGGACTCCCACATGTTGTCTTTTCCCAAGCTGTAGGGGGCCAGTGGTAGAGCAGGTGATGTATCCTGCTGACTCAAGTGGTGTGAGTTTCGCTCTGAACTCATGCAAAAGGCTGCTCCCCACTTGGCTTGGCCATGAATGAGTACCTGGTCACTTGGGCTGGGGAATCAAGGGTGATAAGATGTGCTGTCAGCTATACCAATCTTTGTGTGCCATTGGTCCCAGAAGCTGGTGTGCTGTAACCATGCTAGCTCAGTGGGCTGCTAGGGTTGGGGAAACCTTTGATGCTCTTTTATTAGTGAGTCACATGACCTTGGGTGAGTCACTTCACCCCTCTGTGTCATAGCCTCCAACCAATAATGACATAAAGCTGAAGAAGGAGTTGCTGCAGTTCCCCACATTTAAGTTTTCCTGATATCTCCCTCTGTAGGTAAAGCAAAGCTCTTAAATCATGTATTCAGTTTAGTTTTTCTCCACCCACCAGGGTTCAGTCAGTACCTGCGTATATCACAGTCAAGTTACAACTCTGCAGGGCCTGGCAAGATCCTTCTCACTCCCACAGCAAACTTGCCTGATCTTTAAAGAACTGACACTAATAAACAGAGACAAGTGTCAGGTCCTGAACAAATGTAATCCAGGGGAGGAAATGATCACTCAGAAACAACACATAGAGCATTTGTCTGTCACCCACAGCCACACTGGGATACAGTCCTTGTCGCTCGTGCTCACGTGGACATACCCCACCAGAAGCAGGAAAAAGAGCAGCCGAGTTTCTTTTTAAGGTTGCCCGGCGGAGTCTGTGGAGTCCACCAGGTTCCAAGTTGGTTAGGGCTGGTATAAAACACTATGTGGTTCAGTACAAATTACTATCAGTAACACCACACATAATCCTAGAAAGGCAGAGCTGCAAGAGGCCTTCAGAGGTCATCTAGCGAGTCCAACTCCCTGCCTGAGCCAGGATCATTCCTATCCAAACTATCCATTGTCTAACCCAGTGGGTTTTAACCTTTTTAAACTGAAGACACCTCTAATTTGGCTCAAGGCACCCCTCTTAGACTCAAGCCCCCCCCTTGGAAAATGCCAGCTCTTACTTTTAACTCATTTTTGACCACAGAAAAACAACAGAGCCATTCTTTTGTTGCAAAGACCTCAGAAAGACCCAAACCAGTCAAAATGGTTTTAACATTCTGGATTCCTATTTAAAATCTCTGGGTTTATCCTGTGCATCATGTGTGCACACCTGACAGGGCTAACATCACGTGGCATCCCATGGCACCCTTGAAAGGCTGTCAAGGCAGTGCAGGGTGCTGTGGCACCTTGGTTGAGAATTCAGCAGTTCCCAAACTCTGACAGTTGCACATCACCAATTTAAAACAATACAGCCTTAAGTGCCACCAGCAAAGTTTTCAGTCCAACCTTAAGTACCACCAGCAATTTTTGGTCATATAAAGTAATTATAATAAATCTGTTAATGTGTACCACTGACAGGTTGTCTGCACACCACTGGTGGTACCCGTACCACAGATTGGGAACCACCTATTAGCAAAACTAGCTGGCCCACCCCAACACAACCACAAGACATAGCATCCCAACCTGTCACAGGCAGGGGTAGATTAAAAGGCATGCACTTGCACCCCCTTTTTATTCCTGCCCCCCTCCAAAGTTTAAAACCAACTGCCTGGCAGTGGTAGCAGCATTTCTAGTCAGGTGGCACTGAGGGAGTCAATTGGCTTCATGGTTCATGATAATCTACAGATCCCTTCTTAGATGAGATAGGGAAACCCTTCATTCCACCAGTATTAATGACCCCCTCTTCTTTATAACGGTCTTGATGTTCCACCAATCAAGCTATCCTTTGTTCTGCAGTGCTGTTGTCTGCTCACTGATCCTAGGGAGGATGCTCCTATTTCACAGCCCTGCAGATCTTAACTCCTTCCAATGAGGTTCTATTTGTTTTTGCTTCCATCTTCAACTGCATAACACAGGCCTGGACCCTAACCTATCAGTAAAGCTTCTAGTTTCTTTACAACCAGAGCAAAATACGTATTGTGTTATGGGAAATGATGCCTCTCACCACCTGCACCCTACTTTTCAAAATCCTAGATCCACTTATGCTCACAGGTAAAGCTGGGGGATTGTGGTAGGCACCATCCTGCTGCTGCCAGGGGGTGTTAAAATACCTTCCAGAGTTCCAAGGAAGGGGGCCACATCCTCTTCAGGTGCCAGCTAAGGAAGCACCTGGTTAGCTAGCCCCCTCCTGAATGAAACCAGAGCAATATACCTGACCAGGAAGGAGGCTCTGGTGAGGGGGAATCCCTGAGGGCTGCAGAGCCGTTTTCCTGTCCCTGATTTGTTTGTGTGTCTGGGCAGTTTCACTGGGGCATGTCCACTGGCTCCTTGGACTTGTTTGGGGGACAGTGGGTGCTGGCTGGTGTGCACTGCTTTACATCCCCCATTGGTGCACTCATCATGAACCTGTGCCCTCGCTCCCATCCCTGTCTTGTTTTTCATTTGCCCCAAGGAATCTGTTGGTGTGCCCAGTGACCTCCCTTAGCAAGGGAGGCTTATAAATTGCCTTGGTGGGCCTAGGTTCATGTTCTCTGGCTCATCTAACAGGCCCATCTCCGGGCAGTTTCACTGGGCAGTGTCCACTGGCTCCTTGGATGCACTGGGAAGCCAGCAGGTGCTGGCTGGTTGATGTGCTCTGCTTTGCGTCTCCCCTTGGTGCACTCATTATGAACCTGTGCCTTCACTCCCGTCCCTGTTTTGTTTTCCATTTGCCCCAAGGAATCTGTTGGTGTGCCCGGTGGCCTCCTGTAACAAGGGAGGCTCGTTTGCCTTGGCAGGCCTAGGCCCATGTTCCCTGGCTCATCATCAAACAGGCCTGTCTCCACGCCGAGTTTCACTGAGCAGCGTCCACTGGCTCCTTGGACACATTTAAGGGCTAGTGGGTGCTGCCAAGTGTGTTCTGCTCTGTGTCCTGCCTTGGCACCCTCATTTTAAACCTCTGACCCCCCCTTCCCCACCTGTTCTGCCTGTCATGCATCCCAAACAATCACTGATGTGTCCTTAATGACTCCCTTCCCAAGGAGGGGCTTTTCAGCTTTACTTGCTGGGCCTAGACCCACATTCCCTGGCTCATCAAACAGGCCCGTCTGTGGGCAGTGTCACTAGGGTTGCCAACTCTGTTCAAATCTATTCCGGGCGGTTTCAGGCACGCCAACATGCCCACGACACAATGCCAACGACCTGCGGGCTGGCATCCATCAGTTCCGGATTAGGGTGCGTAGGCTTTACGTCAGGGCGGCAAACACGCACTACCAGGACATTTAAAAACCTACATAAATCGGATTCAACATGTAATATTAATTTGAACGAATGCCCTATCGTTTCTCTCCGGGTGACTCTCAGCAGTCTCCTGGAGATTTCTCTCCAACGAATCCCTGCAGACTCCGGGAGTGTTGGCGACCCTCCGTCTCCCAGAGCAGCGTCCACCGGCTCCTCAGAGGCGGCGGGGAGCCAGTCCAGGACCGCGCCGCGCCGCCCCTCCCCTCCCCGGGCGGGCCGAGTGGCGGGG